AAGAAAAGAAAAGAAAAGAAAAGAAAAGAAAAGAAAAGAAAAGAAAAAAAAAGTACGGAGTGTGTTTTGTCACTAGACTAGAACAGACTCCGACTTCTCAACCTACAAGGTCTCTTGTCCTGACTGCAGACAGGAATGCAAGGTGAGGATGCAATTATTGCTGAGGAGGCTAAAAGCTTGACTTCAGCAGGACACTTGTGTGCAATTCTGCAGTGGCTTTACTAGAAGACTCAAAGCCACATGGAGAAATGTCTTACTACATAGCTTAGGCAGGTCTCAACCTCACAAGGTGCTCTTGCTTCAGCCTCTAAAGGTCTGGATTACAGATGGGAGCTATTGTGCTCAATTAACACTTTAAAATGACTGAAGTTTAAACAGTACTGAACTGAAGAAACAGAACTCAGGTCTCACTATATTTTTTTTTGTTTTGTTTTAGTATAAATGGGTTATTTTAATTTTTTTTTGAATTTTATTTTTTTCTTATCAGTTACATTTTATTAACTCTGTATCCCAGCCATGTCCCGATCCCTCATTCCCTCCCAGTCCCTCCCTCCCTCCCTCATTCTCCACCGTGCCCCTTGCCAAGTCCACTGATAGCGGGGACCTCCTCCCCATTCAGCTGATCCTGTTTTATCAGGTATCTTCAGGACTGGCTGCAAAGCTCTCCTCTGTGGCCTAACAGGACTGCTCCTCCCTTGGGGGATGGGGAGGCCAAAGAGCCAGTCATTGAGTTCCTGTTAGAAATAGTCCTTGTTCCCCTCACTATGAGCTACCACAGGCTACATCTGAGCAGAGGTTCTAGGTTACATTCATACATGGTCCTTGGTTGCATGTCAGTCTCAGAAAAGGCCCTGTGCCCAGATATATTTGGTCCTTGTGGAGCTCCTATCCTTTCCTCATCAGACTAACTCCCCTTCTTTCTTATGATTCCCTGTACTCTGCCAAAGGTTTGGTCATGAGTCTTTGCTTTGAAAACACTGCTAGTTAGAGTCTTTCCAATGCGCTCAGTAGACTCCTGTCAATGTTCAATGCGCCTCCCATCTGTCTTTCAAAACGAGGATTGATAATCTTACCCCATGTCTGCTCTCTTGATTATCTTTTTTTAGGTGTATAGATTTCATTATGTTTATCATATCTTATAGGTCTATATAAGAGGTCTCACTATTTTTAATAGTCTCTGACAAATTCTTTCTTCTCAACTATTCTAGAAAAAGTAAGACCTTCACTTGATCAATAGATTAGTACAAATAAAATTCATGTCAGATTTTAAAAGCTTCCTTTTCTCCAATTGTGAGTCTTTTAAAATGAATTACGAGTAGACAGTTTGGTCAGCTTGTCAGTTTACCTGTGGCAGCACAGACTACAATATATCTGAGGAAGGTATTTATCTTTCTCTGGAAAATATTTAATGTATACGCCAAATGTTCTTTATTTTAAAAAGTAGTAGTAGCTTGAGAAAAGTATATCTTATAATCTGATAAAATTAGATGCTTTTAATTTGAACTTATATAAAAGCATTGAACATTTTAATTAAAACTAAATTTTAAATAAATATTTACAATATATAATAAAATACATAACCTCTTAAAAGGCAAAATAAATTTTTATATTGCATTATTAAGAATAGGAAAACATGAAATTTCTAGGCACTTGAGACTTTCAAATATTTCTTCTCAAAAATAATTTAATGATCCATATCTATTGACAAATACAGCAACCACATAGTTAACTTATATGCAACTCTTTTAAAGTATGCTTTGAATTATTTATCTCTTTCACTTAAACCTGAAATACCTTGTTTTGTCCATGGGATTTTTGTTGTTGTTGTTTTGTAGCACTAGAGAGTGAACCTAAGGCCATGCACCTGCTCCGTAAGCACCCATCCGCTGAACTATTCCTCAATGTTATCTTAGCTTCCTTTCTTATTCCACTAAACTATATACAGCTAAATTAAGTAGATTTTATGGTTTCATCACACTGTTTTTCAGAATTAACAAGAACATATTAGATTATCTGGAGTTGGTTCTGAACATTAATGATCTATATTTTGCTGAGACACAACACATGGGTATTGGTTGTATAAAAAAGGTCCATTTATATTATTCAACACAGGAATCTCAAGATGACCTAATATTTTTCTACTGATAATTTTAAAATGTATTTTGTAAGATAATCATATTACAAATGGTAATCTTTTATAAGATAAAATACTATTGAATACTAAGACTTGCAAATACTAAGATACATTATGGTATATCTTATTCCACGTGCTATTTGGTCATAAATTTTGTTATTAAAATATTATTATCACACAAGTATAAATTCCAACAATATTTCAAAATGCATCTATATTCTTCACTTTTATAAAAAATATACTGTGTATTAAAATTGAGGAAATACAGCAATGCAAAAATAAAAAGTAATAACACTTTTCACATGTGAAACCATCAAGTTTAACAGAAATGGTATTGATGATTTAATGGACTCCATCTTTTTGTTGTTGTTCTTGGATTCAGTTCGCAAGTATCTTGTTGACAATTTTTTATTTATTATTTTTTAATGGCCTCCATATTAATTACAGAATTCTAAATGAATTCAAATTTTTTCCTCCCATGTTAATTCAATTATTTTCTCAAATGATTTAACACATAACTTGGATACAGTCAGCACTAAAAAATACACAACAGAATTAACTTTCAGACTATGCTTGAAAGTTCTTTGCTTTGAAAGTAAACTATCAAAGCAAATTACTTGTACAAACTTAAAACTATACCATTAAGACTATCTTTAAAAAGTAAAAGCAAAAGCAAAGCCATCTAGTAACCAACTTTTCTTTTAAAGACTAGATAATAGAACTGACATAATAGAGTTGTTAATTGTTGCTTTAAGACTTACACTATATAATTCTTGGTTTTCATTAGTTATACTTTGGAGACTATCTGTTTTTGAGACAGGGTCTTGCTCTGCGGCCCTTACTGGCCTAAAATTCACTATGTAGATCAGGTTGGCTTTGAAATCATAGAGATCCACCTGCCTCTAGCCTTCTGAGTACTGGGATTAAAGGGGTTCATCACCACACCTTGCTTTAAAAATTAACTTTTAATTTTAAAAAGTGTGAATTCTGAAACAATGTTTCCCATAAACTCTTTAAAAATGACGTATATTTCACAATTCCACATACATATTTTGATCATATCCCACTCTCTTATATCCCCTTTCCACTGAATCCTTCGCAAGCCTTTGTCCTACTTTCCTGCTCTGAGGTTTTGCTGTTTTGTGTGATCCACTGAATAGTTATTATTCAAGTAACTAGGGTTACTTGAAAATACCTGGGTGGAGGTTATCTAGCTAAGCAAGGATTGTTGCCAGTTACTCCTCTGCTGCCTTTCCATGTTTAAAAGATTCCTATGTATAATACAAATGTTACTGCTTTAAGAAAAACATAGTCAAATCCATACTTATTTTAACTTACTTACTGCTAAGTTTTTCAACTGTATCTAACTGAAGGAAGTATATTGATAATAAGCATATCAATTTAATGCTTAGACCCAGTAAGTTAGCTTGGGTTATGCTAGTACTTAAGATTTAAATGTAAATACTTTGGGAAAGTGGTTTTGTTCTTGTATATGGAAATGAATACATTCGAGTTTACCATTTTTCGGATTTAATTATTTTACTTTATGAAAGTTTTGTCACATGCCTGTCGGAACGCCCGGAAGCAGAGCTATGGGTGATTTTAAGTCACCATATGTGTGCTGGGAATCAAACCCGGGTCTTCTGTGAGAGCAGTAAGTGCCCTTAAGTGCAGAGCAAACTCTTTATCCCAGACCTGTGTTTTGTTTCGACACGAGGTCATATTACGTAACCCTGCGTGGCCTGGGACTCCCTGTGTAGACTAGGTTGAGTGAACTCACAGAAATCCCTCTGCATCTGCTTCTCAAGTGCCGAGGTCAAAGGCCTGTGACACCACATCCACACTCAATATCAGAAATGCATTCTAGAAATAAGTGTGAATGTAAGAAGACAGATTCATTTTGAATAACATAGATCAAAGATCAGCTATTACAAAGCCAGATTTATGTTTTTTCTTCATGGGTAGCACGATTGCTACCTAAACAACACCAGTTTTCTAAGAGTTTATCTTCTTACAAGGAATGTGTTAGGAAATATTACATTAAAGTTGTTACCTTTTAGCCGGTGACTTAGAATTTGTTCCAGAACAGCTGCAAAATTATTAAATTCAGGAGAAGAATCATCAATTGTTTCAAAGCAAGACCGATCAATCAAGGTCTTCACAGAAAATCTATGAAAAAAAAAAGATGATTGCTGGTTTTAGAGAGAGTAAATCCACTCACTTAAATTTGAAAATGTCAGAAAGTATTTAGAAAAAAATCCTGAAAATCTTTTTTTATTCAATGTGCTCTGGAGGTTGAAAACTTTACAGAAAATGAGCTTCCACATGTATAGCTCCTGCTAACATTGGAATGCTGGTGTCCTCTAAGGTCCTACATCACTAGTGAGTCCCAGGGCAATAGCATCAATGTGTTGGGCCCTACATAGTATTCTTCTACCAGTATCTCTGTAGAAGAGGCCTAAGGGAGTTTGACTGCCTCTTCTGCCATAAAAGGCACCAAACATGGGAACAGACCCTGTGGTATACCAAGTCCCCTGGCACCTTGATGATTTAAACAATAAATTTGTTGTTTTGTTTCTTTACAAACTACCCAGTATGAGAGCAGTTTGTCACAGCACGCCGAAAAGACTAAGATAATACCTTTTGCTTAAAGTAAGACTTTGGGATAATTTTCTGTTTTTACACTACTGGTGTTGAAATCAGAATCAAAAAGTGATACAATTATAACTTAGTATTCCTTAATACAAAAAATTTCTGACTTATAAACATTAGACAGAGTTTTTTACTTTAAGACAATAATAAAGTGTATCTATATGATTATTCTCGTTTTTTTTTTTACTTTTGGTATAGCAGTCAATAAACTGTATTAAATATAGAATTTTTATTACAATTATTTGCTTACTTATTTGTGTTTGTGTGTCTGTGTACACATGTTCATGCATGAGCCACAGGATGCATGTGGAGCTCAGAAGATGACCACTTGAGCAAGTCAGCTTTTTTCTTCTACCATGTGAGTCCTGGGAACTGAACTCAGCTCATCACACTTAGCAGTCAGTGTCTATATCCACCGACCCATCTCACGGCCCTAAGTATTTAAGGCTTCACCATAAAACAATGTTAGGTGGCTCCGTCAAATTGTAGGTGAACAGAACTGTTCTGAGCAGTCTTGAAGAGTAGGTAGGCTGCGGTATTTTATTATTTAGGTATATGTGGTGGCTTCAGTAAGATATTCCTAGTCTCAGGCAAGTGAATGACTGGTTCCCAGTTAGTAGAGCTGTTTGCAAAGGCTTAGGGAGTGTGGCCTTGTTAGAAGAAATAGGTTACTGAAGGCGGCCTTTGAGAATTTAAAAATCTACATATTTCAAGGTAGCCCTCTTGGCTTCCTGCAGCTTGAAGCTCCTTAGCTCCCAGCTCTGCTGCCATGCCTCTACCCTGCCCCCCCCCCCCCATTATGGACTCACCCTTTTGGAACCATAAGCCCAAATACACTCTTTCTTTTATAAGTTACCTCAGTCATGGTGTTTTAACATAACAATAGAAAAGTAGCTATTATAAAAGTATTTTTAATTTACAACATTTTCAACTTACAATAGCCATGAGTTTGAAAAAGATCAAGAAGTGGTATGTGGAAGGAGTTGTAGGGAAGAGGAAAATAATGAAATGATACTATAAATCCAAAGTAAAATAATTAAATAGAAAATGCCGCTTACATTTCCATATTTAAAAAAAGTAAACAACACATGACAGAGTCATTCTGGTAGAGGGAATCTCATGTCCCTATCAGACTGACCTGTGGATCATTTTCTTAATTAGTAACTGATGTGAGGGCCCAGTCCATTGTGGGTGGGGCCACCACTGGACTTGTGGTCCTGGGTGCTATAAGAAAGCAAGCTGAGCAAGCCCTAAGTAGCAAGCCAGTAAGCAGCACTCCTCCATTGCATCAGCTCCTGTCTCCAGGACCTGTCCTGTTAAAGAGTTCCTGTCCTGACTTCAATGATGACCTGTGATGTGGAACTATCAGCTGAAATAAACCTTTACTTCCTGAGTTGCTTTGGTCATGCTGTTGTGTTTTGTTTTGTGTTGTGTTGTATTTTTAATAATCCTAGCTAAGAAAAAGCAGAAACCATACAAAAATCATCTTAGTGGGGAAATAAATTACATTATTTATGATCTTTATACATTTTTGTTTTTCAAACTATTAAAAACTCTGGCCAGTTACAATACAGAAAAATGAAAAAGTAAAATATCTAAGTATAGAATACTACAACTTAATATATTAGAAATATTAGGAATTAAAATTCTTTACTTTCTTACAAAACAGGTATGAAGAGTAGAATGAATGGTTGTCTCAGTCTTCTCCTTGTGTAACCTTGGAAAACTTCTGTCCCTTCCTGAATTTTAATCAACTCTCAGCACTTTAATTCAATCAAGCTCTTTCTCTTGAATGTCATTATACCAACACTTCTAAGCACATACTATAAAGACTTACTGTAAAGAGTAGAATCATCTCTCTCACGTTACTGACAGACCATTTCATTCAGTTTGCTAGTATCTTCTCTCTTGTCTGCTGGTATCTCCTCTCTTCAGCAAAAATGAAGTGGATTCCCTTTCCATGGAGATACACGGTTTATGTGTTTTCTGATTATAAAAATGTTGGAAAGTGACGTGGCAAAGCTGTTGTTGGAATCTTTCATGAGCACCTATCAAAAAGGCTAGATCCCACAATGACCACACCAATTCTTCCCAAGTTAGTACCTTCACTCAATGCAAACATCTAGTCCCAAACTAGACAGAGTCAGTTATCTTGCCAGATTTCAAATTGTTTCAATTGGTGACAACTTCCCACCTTGTATCCCTTACTTCAATACCATGAAACATCTCTGATAGATCCTTTAATATTAAGTGTTTGGTCAGGGTCACTTCCTTTGAAACATTTTCTGTTATTATAAAGCTCCAATTGTTCAATTTTACCAATGAAGACTCAGGAGCCAGATGCTGCGGTGAAAACCTGCTGGCCCACAGTCAGGGAAGGCACCCAGCTAACCTTCCTATTCAGCTCATGTCCAAAGGAAAAAGCTGAAGCCCAAGCACTCCAAGCTAAAAGCCCCAAAAGCCAAAAAGCCAAAAGCCTAAGGGCCAGAAGCTTTCTAGCTCAGCTGACAGCCCAGGAAGAAAAGGTCTGCTAGCTCACTCAACAGCCCAAGAGGAAAAAGCCTAATGCTAACAGCCAAAAGCTACTTCTCTATACAGTCTTACATACTCTTCTCTCAAAGTCCCTCTTTCTATTTAATCCCTGTCAGCTGTTTCTTTCTCCGCCTCTTGACCTAGGCTTAACTTCATTAAATCGTGTGTACAGAAAGCTCTTGGGTTAAAGGTGTGTGCTAGGGCTGAGCCACATTACAATCACCTGTTTACAATAACAAAGTTCTTGGATTAAAGGTGTGTGTTAGGGACGAGCCACATTGAACAATAAACAGCTTTTGACAGTTTACCGTCTCGGTTCACAATGGAATCAAATATCCTGCAACTTTCTTCTTTTCCATCACAACCACTTTCTCGGTGACATTAGCACATGCACCTCTGCTAAGTTGCTAGAGGTGACTATCTTGATCTTGGACAGCAGCAACTTATCTTTTTCCTTATCAAGAAAATGTGTTTGACAATTTTATGTATGTACGTAATGCATTCTGGTTACTACGCACTGCCACACTACTTGTTTCCTTCCCACCCTTGCCAGCCCCTCTTATTCCCTACAAATGTCTTTCCAGACTTACGGCTTAGAAGTATCCATTAGAGCTGGTGGGCACACAGTTAGATACAGAGCTTTCTCTTCTAGAAGCTGTTAGTTGTGTGTTACCAGTAAGTGTCACTGATAGGACTTCATGACAGCCATGGCCATGTCCTACTTAGAAAATAACTTTTCACTTTTCTTCCCCCTCTCTTCTAGCTCTTACAATTCCCAGAGCCTTAAGATAGTGTTATAACTATATAAATGTTGCTTAGGGCTGAGCCCTCATCTGTTTTTACTCTTAGCATCTTACACAGACATCTTCTCTGCAGTTACCTTTATTCACTGCGAAGATGTTTCTCTAACTAAGGCCAAGAGCAGCCTTTGTCGCTGGATATATTTAGAAGGCAGTTTGATATTGTCAGTTTAGCTAAGAAACAGTAGTAAATGTTTGACTGGGTTTGTAAATCTATGCATGGGTTGTTTCTTGTGGAACAGGACTCAGATACAATCAGAGAGAGGTTGGTTACACCCCCCACCCAACAGTTGTGCCATTATTACAACAATGGGTACCTCTTGCCTGGCAGGTTGGTATATAGTTCATAGAATTCACAGGTGGTAAGTCACTGATGCCTTACTTCTCCAGCTGCCTGCACACCACCTTCCAGCACTGTGAAAACTGGGCAGCAGGAAGCTTCCAGCCTAACTTCTCTAAATCTTGTGCCTTGTTTATGATATCGTCAGCATTAAGGTCTTATTAACTAGTTCTGGTGGGAAAATAAGTAGATATCAAAGGCTTGGTATCTCACACCTGGCATTGGGGGTTTTGTTTAATGATCTATTACTTCTAGGATACGTATGTTATTTTATTTAGCTATAAAAAACAATGAAATTATGACATTTTGAAGATAAATAGATAAAATTGAAAAAAACTGTACCAAGTTAAGTCACCCACACCCAAAAGACAAGACACATGCTGTGTGTTCTCTCTCATATGCAGATCTGAGCCTTGTGACTGTTTGTGTGTTTAGCTTAAGAGTACCTCCAGAACATGTAGCGCCCATACTTACATGAAGGCAAAGCATGTACACGTATAAAATAAAAATAATAACATAAATACTATGTTCTTCCACAGCTGAATTAAATGCAAAGTTTTCTAAAATGAAAAAAAAAAAAAGGCTGTGCTACCCTATTGTTGACTTGAGTAGGAGAAAATTTCTAAATTTTTTTCTCTAATCTTTATCAGGAGGAATGGAATAAGAAAGCTGACTCTGCAAGCACATTCTTGAAGGTAAGAGAAAAACTACTACTTTAGAAAAGTATGTCATTTGAAACAGTAATGCACACCATGAAGCCAACTGAACATATTTTCATATAATGGTAACAAGGCATATTTCACCAAGAAGCTGGATTAGGATTTAGTTTCATCTCTGACAGTGTG